TTCTATTCTATTCTATTCTATTCTATTCTATTCTATTCTATTCTATTCTATTCTATTCTATTCTACTCTACTCTACTCTACTCTACTCTACTCTACTCTACTCTACTCTACTCTACTCTATTCTATTCTATTCTATTCTATTCTTTGAGCCAGGGTGAATTGGGGGCTTGCCTTTTTAAACACCCCCTGCCTCTTACGTTATGTCCCTGGGCCTAAGATGTTTGCTGAATCATACAGAATAACTGACTTAGAAGGGAACTTGGCAGTCTTCTATCCAACCTTCTGCTCAAGCAGAAGACCCTATGCCACTCCAGACAAATTGCTGTCCAATGTTTTCTTAAAGAAACCATCGCATTTAATCAGTGATGGGGCACCCACAATTTCTAGACTAGAGGCATGCCGTTTTACTGATCAATTGTTCTGTCAGGAAATTTCTCCTTTAGTCCTAGGTTGGGTCTCTCTTTGTTAAGTTCATCCATTACTTCCTGTCTTGCCCTCAGCGCTTTGGAGAATAGATTGACCCTCTCTTCCTTGTGGCAGCCCCTCAAATATTGGAAGACTCTTCGGTTAGAGTAGACGTTCCCAGTTCCAGCAACTGGAACAGTGAACGGAGAGGTTGGAATGTTTGCAGAAAATGTACACAACCAAGACAGGAAGATAGATTTGGAAAAGCTACGTGCAAAGAGGGCTACGATTTTAAAAACATCCCGGATCCTCAAAGTTTGACAGATGGGACTGCAGACAAATGCTGCAGAAAACTTTATTCATTGCTTTAAAATGTCAAGGCTCTGCTCCGTATTATTTCTAGTCATCCACATGTTTGTCAAAATGAGCTGCAGAAAATCAGAACTGTGTGACTGAAAGCTGTCAGGAAATTGCCGTGCCCGCCCCCAGCAGTTTCCGTTGTATTTTAAGACACGGCTCAAAGGAAGACTAGGCTGCAATGCATTCACACAAAGCTTTCATCTTCTTTTAAATAGGGGACTCTAATTCTGCCTCAGAGTAGGTGGAGAAAATCTGGGGTGAACAGATTCACGAAGGAAAAAGCAGGAAAAGATCTAATCATTAAAACGGTGCAAAGGAAATGCAGCCTACCCCATTGTGCACTTGGTAATTATAAGGCACCCCAAGGAAGAGTCTCAAAAATAGGCAATTTTTCAGTCTGAACATTCGAAAAGCCAGCTGTAATAAGGAAACTTGAGAATAGCTTGGGCAGTGGGAATTGCATCTTTGCTGCACAGACTGCATAGTCAACAGTAACTTTAAGGAAGTTAATTAACGTTCCAAAAACATTGGCATCATGTCAGATTTTATTTTTTTAAAATTATTTTGCAGTACAGGAAAAGGCTGAGTGCCTTCCCTGTTAACATTCCTGGTAGCTCTTATTTGGGTTAAGGCTTGCTCCCAAAGTTCTGCAAAATTAAAGCAGCGCTCTTGGGATTTTTTTTCAAGCCAGATTGTGCAATCTTGCCTCTTCCTGCCAAGAGCTGTCAGATTCCTTGCCTTTCCTCTGTTGTCCTCCTGCCACTGTAAACCATCTTTCCAGTTTAGCAGACTGCCCTTGTTAAATTCAGAAAGATCTTTACTAGAATCTTTATTATTAAGGGAGACATTCAAATGTTAATGGATAACTCTAAAAGCGCTGGGAACTGTCCTATTAAAACAGATGCTTTGCTGGCACAGTGTGGCTTTGAGCTGCAGAAAGTTTATGGGGGCTTCGTACCCAGTTTACTTTCAGGCTCAGAGCAAAAAGTTATTGCTTTTTTCCATGACTGAATTTCTTTGCTTGCTTCTTCTTCTTCTCCTCCTCTTAGGTTTGCCAGTTTGTGATTTCAGTGAACGGGCTCAACGTTCTCCATGCAGATTACAGGACTGTAAGCAACCTCATCTTAACTGGTCCTCGGACCATCGTCATGGAAGTGATGGAAGAAATTGAGCCCTGAGATGGATGCTTGACCTGCTGCACCACCGTTATGGATTCAGCCCCTGTGCAAACACAAGCAACCTTATACAAGGGGATAAAAACACACTTTATCTCAGAGATCAATTTTGCCTTCTAAGTACTTTCCTCTCCTCTTTAATAATTGGGTTTTTCAATGGATGTAGTCTAAGACCATGGGTATGCATTGGTGAGTTCTAAACTAGAGAAGCACAAATCAGCTTGTACTACACAAAGGAACTGTTGCACATCCAAGTCATGGCAAGCTTAGATGGTCAATCTTACGGATGGGCAAGATCCGATGCAGCTGTGAAATCTCTTATTAGGAATCATGTTTGTGCCAATCTCTTCAATGTTGTCTTGTTTTTTCTTTTAATTCATGTTTTCATTTGTGATTGTATAGAACGAGCGCAGTTTTTCCAGTGTAATGTCTCCAGACATATTATGACCACAATTTCTAGAATTCCAAGCCAGCAGAAACAACAACTGAATTGACTGAGAATTCAAGAAACCGGTGTCCAATTTGTTTGGAGCATGTCCAGATACTAGCTTTGATTTTAAGGATCTGGTAACAAATTTTCCGTTCAAATGTACATCTAGATGTAAACTTTTATTTTTAAATAAGGATTGTTACAAATTTGGTACCAAGGAAAGACCCAGTTCTACTTCTTGGACAAGTTATGGAACAGGAGGCAAGTGGACATTTTAAACATGCCAACTTTGCATAATTATGTCTGTTTTGTAACTTGGTTAATTTTGAAAAGCTAAACCAGTCAGATCTGGTTAGTTCTTTAATAGGAGACCACTAACAAATCCTGGGTCTAAATTTTAGGCTGGGAAGTTGAGAAACTATCTCAAAAGAAAATGATGGTAAATTACTTTCATATTGTTGCCAACAAATGATATGGTTGTATCCATGTAAATCTATCAGGGCTCGAGCTCAATTCAAGGGAATCTTTATCTTTTTATCTATGAAGATGGAGAAGAAACTTTATCGGTTACAACCCTGCCATCACCTTGACGAAAATCTCACTTAAGTATACAGAAGAGTGGACAGAATTCACTCCCTACTACACACCACACATTCCAGTCTTGTTCATAAAGAATATCAGAATTGGAAGGTACCTTGGAGATCATCTAGTCCAACCCCCTACTCCACTTGGAGGCCCTATACCATTTCAGACAAGTGGTTGTCCAGGGTCTTCTTAAAAACTCAGGCAAAGACAAGCCATTTCACTGATTAATTGTTCGGTCAGGAAGTTTCTCCTTATTTCTAAGTTGGATCTCTCCTTGATTAATTTCCATCCATTGCTTCTTGTTTAGTATGAGCTGTGGTGGTGCAGTAGTTAGAATAAAATATTGCAGGCTAACTCACTGCTCACTGCCGGGAGTTCGATACTGACTGGCTCAAGGTTGACTCAGCTTTCCATCCTTCCGAGGTGGGTAAAATGAGGACCCAGATTGTTGGGGGCAAGAGGCTGACTCTGTAAACCACTTAGAGAGGGCTGTAAAGCACTGTAAAGTGGTATATAAGTCTAAGTGCTATTGCTATGTGCTACATATTTCTGATATTATAGTGTGAGCCATCAACTTACACTATAATTTGGCTAACAAGCACTTTGTTACAATTTAGATCCTTTTTTTAAATAAATAAGGTGGGTAAATATAGATGCCACAATTTTAAGGCGCCCAAGATTCCAAGATACTGTTTTGAATACATCTATGATATTGCAAAAAGCAAACCAATCTACTCTTGTTTGTCAGTTGCAGAAGCCTAAGCAAATAAAAGTGGAATCTTACAAGCCATGCAGATAAATGTACATTAATCACGGTTGCTTACCATTCTTTAATCTTTCTGCTAATTATGCCCCTACTAGAGATAAAGACCTCCCACTGATATTCTTTTGGGTCCTGATCAACTTGCCATGGGAAGCTGTGATTCACACATTTCATTTGTCCCTAATAAGATCCCCAGTGGCCAACCTAGACCTGAAATTAATTGTGTGAATGCACTTATCAAATGCAATTTGCTAAACACATAATAGCCACAGGGAAAAGTTGATATCGGGAACATGGCAAGCAGAAAGGAAGGATTCAGCTCTTCTCACTAAATACTTTCAGAGCTTCTATGGTTTAGAAGAGTAGGCCCCAGCCTTTGCGGATTGGCGGCCCAGTGGAGGGGGTGAGGGGGGCTGGTGCAAGTGGAGGGCTGGCAGCAGTGGTGCAATTCAACCGGTTCGATGAGCACACACGCTTCGCACCCATGCTCTATATTTTAAAAAGCCAATTTTCAACTCAATTACTTACCTTCTACTCCCCCTGGGACTAAAACAGCCAAGGTGCGGCAAACCGCCACGTGAATAAGTTGTGGTTAAAAATACCAGGAAATAAAGCATAGGAAAGAGGAGGTGTGGGTGGGGCCAAATACTCACCAGAACTACCGGTTCACCCGAACCGGTCCGAACCAGTAGAATACCACCCCTGGCTGGCAGCTCAACTTACATGAGTAGCAGCCTGGTTTTGAATAGGCCATGGGCCCCTGGTTTAGAACAGGGGTCTCTGTTGAGGTAATTCCCCGTTAGGAGAATGAGCGCATACAGGGAGACGTATTTGAGAGGAGTGTTTGAATAATACACATACAGCACACAGATACACTGTACAGTAAATGTAGGTTTTTACTTCCAGAAACGTTAAGCAAAGTCCAAAATAGGCAGTCCAAAGTCATTCACAGGTAAAATCAGTCAGTTTTCATCCAGGGATAATCCAAATATCAAATTCCAGTGTCAAAAACAGTTCAGTATCAGACTTACATTAAATCCAGTAATATCAGTCAATTAGAAGAAATGGAGCAACGGCAATACTTTCCAACAGAAGGAAACAGAGATACACTCACACTCTCTTCTGAGACTCAGACTAAACAACCCAGGTTTCTGGCTCCATCTTATGGCCGTTTGAGAAACCACACCTAATTACAGTTTTGCATTTTCTTAAAGATACAGTTTTAAAATGTTTTTCCTGGTTTATATATTTCTAACCCAAATAGCTGTTAGGTGACTCATATTCCTAACAGTCTCCAACCTTGACACCTTTAAGACTAGTGGACTTCAACTCCCAGAATTCCTCAGTCAGCAAAGCTGACAGGAATTCTGGGAGTTGCATTCCACAAATCTTAAGAGTTGCCAAGTTGGCTGAAGAATTCTGGGAGTTGAAGTCCACAAATCTTAAGAGTTGCCAAGGTTAGCTGAGGAACTCTGGGAGTTGAAGTCCACCAATCTTAAAGTTGCCAAGGTTGGAGACCCCTGGTTTAGAAGAAACATCCATTGATACCTGTGAGAACTTTCCTGATAATGGACATATTTATTGGGCACTGTGCGGAAGAGCAAAAGGCCTCTCGGCTCTAATTTAGCTGCGGTGAATGTAGGCTCTCTTACAGTATTTACTGGGGAAGGAAGACTTAGGGCAGAAAGGTGAAGGAAATCTGGCCTCCATATTTCAACTGAGTCACACATGGGTTATGTTCACACAACACTATCAGGTCTGGTAAAGATTTGGATCACTCCCAGAAATCATTAAGTATAAGTAGCACAGGTAATTCCTCAGCCAAATCCCACAACTGAGACTGGAAATCTTGTCATAAATTAAGGCACCCATCATGTGACTGGAACTGTTATTGTTCTTTTTATATTCTGTGGAGTGATTGTTAAACAAACAGCTCGGTCATTAAGTGAATCCATGGTTCTGAATGGGCTTTTTTGTCAGAAACTGACAAAAAATGACAAAAGCCAGCCAAACCTATTGCCAAGTGCCTAAAACACAGACGTGTGACTGCCAGGATGGGGTGGGGAGTAGGACATTTTACGATGGCCGAAAGTGCTTTATAGACCATAAAGCACCGATTCCAAGACTGTGGAAACTCTGAACAGTCCTAAATTAACCAATCATCAGTTGAGGACTACCTATATTAACCTTAATTCGTTTCCTATGGCTTTGTGAGCTGTGTGAATCCAGCCTTTTTAGTTGCTTTATGATTCGGTTTATTATGGGTATCCAGAAAAAAAATGTTTAATTGTGAACTCAGGAGAACATAACAGATAACAAATCATCAGAGTTGGAAGGGACCTTGTAGGTCATCTAGTCCAACCCCCACAAGCAGGAGACCCTACACCATTTCTGACAAATGGCAGTCCAATCTCTTCTTGAAAGTCTCCAGTGATGAAGCTCCCACAACTTCCAAGGGCAAGCTGTTCCATTGGTTGATTGTTCTAATAATTAATCTTGCAATAAGTCGTCAATAGTCATTGAAGTCAACTGAAGATGTCCAATCACTTGTGCTCCAGTCCTTCGACAAAATTGTACTATCTCCACTGTGATATAATTTGCAGTGTTAACCACTGAAATGTCCCCTGTCTGTGCAAGGCCATAGCATCCATGCCAGCTAAGTTTGCACAGGAAAGGTAGCTTCCTAGTGATCCAGCCATAACAAATGCTCTTGCAGTCCCAAGTTTAAACATTTTCCCAAGAAGTGAGGCTGTAAGGCAGAGGTGGTATTCAGCAGGTTCTGACCAGTTCTGAAGAACCGGTAGCGGAAATTTTGAGTAGTTCGGAGAACCAGAAAATACCGCTTCTGACTGGCCCCGCCCCCATTTATTTTCCGCCTCCCAAGTCCCAACTGATTGGCTGGGTCTTTTTTGGTTGCCCTGCACAGGAGAACGGAGCTGGAAAGCAGGTCAGTGGGGTGGGGTGAGAATAGGTATTTTACAGTATCCTTTCCCCTGGAGTGGGGAGGGAACACAGATTTTACAGTATCCTTCCCCTGCCATGCCCACCAAGCCACGCCAACAGAACCGGTAGTAAAAAAAATTGAATCCCACCACTGCTGTAAGGTGCCTCTTCGCCAAATCTGTGAGACCCCAATAATTCTTGATTTTCAGTCCAACTGCTTAACAAGGCCACACAAAGTCTTAGTATTTGGGGGCAGCAAGATCCCACACTGTCTCTTGATTTAAACCCCGTTTTAATTGAAGTT